AGAATGGACGCGAAGCTCGCAACACAAGTTTTCCTTCCTTCATGTCGCAACATGACATGGGCCTTGCCAGAATTATTCAATCATACGAGTTGCGAAACACCCCATAGTTTACATGTATCAAAATCCAAACCCGACATTGGCTGAAATGGCGGAGGTGAGTAGGTTGTAGCGCTATCTCTTGACAACAAAACTAGCTAGATAATGCAATATTTTGTGTTTTTGCGTTTAGCAAGATTGCAAGCGCCGCCGCAATCTGCCAAACAGCACGCCAGCGCCTAGAATTTGTTCTTAGGTGAGTTAGGCGTAAGGGTGCTGAACATGTTACATTGTGGCAGTGGTGGAGACGTGATAAAGGACAGAGGAGCTGCTTGTTCTCTTGATGTTGTGTCCTTTTTCATGTTTTCCGCATTGTGCTAGAAGTAACGAGGCTATAAGCGGCATGTTCGTGAGGTAGGTACACAGCCAGCACAGCGTAATCAACGGTGCAGTGAAGTCGGTAGTTTATCAGATTCATGTGGCGAGCCCACGATCTTTAGATTTCGGCAAAATAGTGAGCGGCAAGGCGTGATGCAAGTGGGATGCAGCGTTGATCCGGGTGGATCCAACCTGTGAGTCTGTCGACGGCTGCAGACGACGTTGCCCGAGCAGCAAACGCCGGTGCCGTTGGAAAGACTCCACGAACAGAGCGCCTGAAGAAAAAAAGACGCTTGCAGTGCTAGTTGCAAGTAAATAGCAATGTTCAAGTTCCCCCTTTCTTGTCATCGGGCTTTCATAATTATATGGTATCCCAGCCGATGTCTCATTGATTTCGCGATTAGTGGAATTCGACCGCTGCGTGCAAGACAAAGCGGCCAATTCGCGGTAAGTAGTGATCGGTACTGTTGTGCTTTGGTTTGTACTCTACCGTATCTGTCTTGTTTGTGCGGCCATCACTCCCGCCGTGTTAGTGAGACACATCGTGAACCACAGAGCGGAACAGTTTACAGGATTCGTCAAACTTCCCGTGAGCAATCGATCTTAAGCGCACATTTTCAAACGAGCAAGGGAGGAGGAACAGAAATAATCAGGGTGCAGTGTTAAAATCATGGTAGCACGAAATTGCAAGCACCACATTCGACTAAATAAACCTGCACGCTTTGACCCGGCTTTGATTATGTCTTTGCAGAATGAAAACAGCTGACAGCGGTGGTGGGCAAGCCCTAAGGCCATTTACTGAGGCGACAACGCCAATGTTGCGTGCAACGTTGAGCTGCCTAAAAAAAACAAGAGCGCACACACAAGTGGCGATGCAGTGTTTTGTATTGTCGCTTCCAGGTGGCTCTTGACCTCTAATTTGTGCGTATAGTAAGAGTGTGCCACGATTGAGCACCAGGTACCAAACTATACAAGAGTCGTCCCGAGGAAGGCTCGGTGATTTTAGAATAACTGAGTAATGATCCAGAGTACTCTACTAAGGGAGAGCGTTACGCCGTCCCGCAGGCTGTGTGTTTAGAAAAAGTGGGTGTAATGATTTAGAGTACTAGGTACTCTACTATGGGAGAGCAAATTTGTTTGGAAAAACATGTTAACGATTTAGAGTAAGAAGTACTCTACTATGGGGAAGCATAAAGCCGTCCCTAGCGCTATGATATGTCTTATGGAAGCATTGTTCGTCTGCTTTTCCCCAATCCGGGGGGGGGGGGGGGGGGGGGTAGAAAGAATGTTCTTCAACGATTTCGAGTACTTCGTACTCAACTATGGGAGAGCTCTGAGCCGTCCCCACTCAAACTACCAACAGAGAGAATGTATAGTGACTACAGGCGCAACCGTCCAGCTGCGGAAACAAGATGTTCACCTTTTTTTCACAAGCCTCCGTGGTTTATCCAGTTCATATTTAAGAGTTCGCATGTCCAACCAAATTGGCTGATCAGTAATCTGTGCCCTTGAAACAGTTTTGAGAATGAAATTACGCTTGCATTCTAACCTTTATTTAAGCGGCGAGAAGTGAAAGTATTGTCTAAAATGGTACCTCTTTTTTTATCTCTGTAACACGAGACGGCCCTAATTTTTTCACAGAATCTATCGGGGTAACTAGGGCTGTGTTCCAGTGCTCACCGTAGACGGCTAAATAGACAGCTAAATGGACGGCGGCTATCTTAAGTCCTATTGGCTAAATAGACAGCTCCGAGAAGAGCGCATCGTAGACAAATACGATGCAGGCCTGGCCCATGAATGCAGGCACAGAAAGGTAGGCTACTTTGCTGTCTGAACAAGATGGCGGCTCAGCGAAGCGCTCAGAAAGGTTGGATATTACCGGAATGGTCGTCTGCACACAAGCTAACGCTTTCCCAGACGCTCAATGTCAATAACGTTTATTTGTGTTTTATTTAAACAGGAAATAGGCCAGAAAATATAACTGTTACGTTTGTTTGTCGCGTAAAAGCCGTCTAAATGTGTTCCATTTTTCGGACAGCATGGGCTCGATGCTGTCTTCTCAGCAGTTTTCGTAGACTGTCTACGTGCTGTCTAAAAATTGGAACACAGCCTAGATATTGGGAAGCTTTCGCCCAAGGTGGTTTTAAAGAACCTCTGGAGTGGTAGTCCCGGCCGCCGGCAATGGAAGCAAGCGACGCCGGCGGCGGGCATATTGCTAGAGGAAAAACAGGGCGGAACCGCCTTAGACCATAATGAAATACGCGCGTTGCGCGCGTCAGTTTGCAGTTCCGAGACAAAAAAATAAAATAGAAACCGCTTGTATGTTACACCAACGAATAACTGCCTCTTCTTGTTTATGAAGCAAATTATTCCATGCACTCATTGTCAGCTTCACGCTTTCAGATCAATCTGTTGTCGAGGGATGCTTCGCATATCAAGCTTGCTGGCGCACTATTGCGGTAAAAAAAGGGTTGTTATATGTATTGGGTGTTTTAAGAAATGCGCCTGCAGATACTCAAGATTTAGGGGAACGCGACATTTCTCGCTTCTTTCATAGATGTGCTTGTGTGTGTGTCGGCAGATTACCAGAGATTATATATAAGGATGTTGAAATAATTAAAGCTAAATTTAGAAAATAGAGGTAAATAAGTACACAAGGAGTCACCAGTAATTTTTCTAGTGTAATCAATTTCTAACCAGTTTACAGACGGAACCAAAACCGAAGCACCGATTTTGCGTGCAAGCGACAAACTCGAGGAGACGCACCCCAATGAACCATTCATAAGAACGATTGCAGTGGCGTTAGTTATGCATGATAGTTATCAGCTTTCGTTGGCGACGTGTGTTGTCATGGCAAGCACAGCCTTCAGAGCCTAGAAACAAGGTAGTTCAATGTTGTACGCCACTCACTCATGTTGGCAACTTCGTCTATCGGTGTTTTGGTTTCGGCTTCGTCGGCAAGATAGAACGGATTTCAAAGGTGTCTCATCTTGTTTTTAGACGCCATTGTTTATTTTTGTGACTACATGCTATTGACGCTACGTCGAGGAAGTAGAAACTAACAGGTTTTTGCAGATGCGCTTGGAAAGGAAAAATCGAAGGTGCACTGCCAGGCCGCAGTCTGGTTGTCTGCCCCGTTCTGTCGAAGCAGCATTCTTGGGAGTGAATAGAACAGAAGTGGTCACCCTCCGTAGCCCTTCAACTATTTCTTCGAACAGAATGTTCCCAGGCAGAACGCAGCGCAATGTCTTTCGGAAACCTGTAACACAGATAATCACGGCATGTAGTTGTTCTCTACGTTTACGAATTCCTCGATAAGCATGCACCAAATTGGACATTAACTCCCCCCCCTCCCCCCAAAAAATGCATACACGCCGTCAACCTTGCTTTGTAAAACAATACCAGAAAACTTGCAATTCAAAGGGCATTCAGACGTCCTACTCGTTCCAATGTTTGATACGTGCAGCCACAGACCGCAAGTCCTTCGTCTATAAACTTAAAACTCGGGAACAACGCCGTGTCAGCGAGCATTTAAAGGTTTTAGTTACCTTCCAAACAGCTATACACATGTATTACACGCATGCACACCTTTGATATTGTTTGTAATTTAACAGCGTACGCCAAAAAACAGTCGATCGTCAGCGAACGAAGAGAGAATACTTACACGTGAAAAGTGATCCCAGGTGTCTTCTTGACGATTTGTGCAGCCATAAGCGACGCACGAAGTCACCATGGCCTTGTAAAATTTTAAACTGATTTACAAAAGCATGTCACAGTCTCCAAAGGGCTCTGCGAGGGCGGAGCTACGAAGCGCACTTTGTCGTCTGCTTCCGAGTCTTTCCTTTTGCAATATGGCGGCGACCGGCGTGGTCTAGAAATTACACTGAGGTAAGAAAGGTGCGACTTTTCCTTCCTTCGTGTAGAAAATAGAACCTTTTTGATGATAACGCCCTGGAGCTTTAAAAATCATTTCGCTTTATACGCCTTTATATATTATACAAACAATATTTTTAGGTAAAATTTTGTTAAAAAAGCTTTTTGAGTGCATAAGATAATAAATACGTTTTCTGTTGTCAGTAAAATAGTAATTTTCCAAACTTTGTACAGCTGCCGCCGCAATTCAGACGGCGCTGTCACCGCGTCCAATACGAAGGGGTAGACACAGACACAGTATGCAGTGCGTGTGGAGAGGAAGAAGAAACTGCCGAACACTTGATAATGTTCTGTAAAGGGCTTCACCCTATAGTTCAGGATGATGGCGCAGAGTTTTTCAAAGCACTTGGGTTTAGGGACCGGGAGGGCAAAATAAACTTTAAGCGGGTAGACTTAACTAGAAGGAGGTTATCTGATTGGTGGCTAAAGTCAAGGCACGAGTGAAAATTAAACTCTTCACTGCAAAGTACGAATACTCAAACTCTTTCTTTTTTTTCTTTTTCCCCTTTTTTTCTTTTTTTAAAGGAAAAAAATATAGTTTTTGGTTCATTAGGTATTACGGCTTGGTGGCGCTAGCCCCCGCCCAATCTAAAGGGTACAGCCATAGAGGCTATGGTACAGCCATATCCATCCATCCATCCATCCATCCATATTCGTTATGGAGGAAGCATTGTAGTCCGACCGCACACACGGAGGAAGAAAAGTGGACCGCACATGTCCAACCGCATGTGAGATTGTTTTCTTGGTTTTAGGTAGTTTTGGTTTTGGACAAATGTAGCGACTGCCCTGCATCGGGAATAAGCCATGCTTCCAGGATAACAAGTACTGTAGCTTGCAACTGTAGTATATTGCAACTGAGTCGGTGTTATTGCCATATAACAATATGATTTATCGTTTACAGTCTAGTACTGTAACCCTATAGAAGCGTACGAGAAAATCCATTCAGTACTTGTGAATCCCTAGTCACAGCTGTGATCAGGTATCAGACATCGCTGGAGAATTGGAACAATGGACAGGTTGTGGGATCGAATCCCGGCTGCGGCGGCTGCATTTTCGATGGAGGCGAAAACGCTCTAGGCCCGTGTTCTCAGATGTGGGTGCACAAAATTTGAGGTAGTCAAAATTTGATTGATTTTGATATGTGGGGTTTGACGTCCCAAAACCACCATTTTATTATGAGAGACGCCGTAGTACGGAGGGCTCCGGAAATTTCGACTGCCTGGAGTTCTCAGAGAACATGCACCCAAATCTGAGCACGCGGGCCTGCATTTTCGCCTCCATCGAAAATGCCGCCGCCGCAGCCGGGATTCGATCCCGCGACGTGCGGGGGTCAAAATTTCCGAAGTCTTCTTCTACGGCATCTCTCGTAATCATATGGTGCTTTGGGACGTTAATTCTACATATCAATCATCAATCAATCAAATGAAGGAACAACAAAATAACAGTTATGGTCTGCAATTGCAAGTGAGTGAGTGAAATAACATTATTAGGTTCACAATAGACGCGAGTTAACATGGTGTCACCTGGCTAGGCCCACTCGGGGACAGTCAAGTTAAACCTGACCGCCCTCCTGTGGGCCCTCCGGACGGCCAGGATTTGAAAAGTAAGGTCCTGTGCCTTAATCAGCTTGTTTATTTCTTCTTGGAAAGGCAGACCGGCGAAGGCACAGCCCCACAGGACGTGCTCGAAGTCCGCATAACCGCCACACAAGAGGCAATCCGGGCTTGAGAATCGTTCGGGGTATATTGTTTGCAGTGCTACGAGCTTGAGTAGGTTCTTGTTTGGAGCAGTGTGGGAGTAACAGCTTGAGCCCTGCACAGCGAGGAGTGTAGCAGGGGCAGCACTCTTCTTGAGAGATAATGGTGCTTGCATATCTTGTTGTACGTGCAGAGAGGCTTGGATCACTCAGGAGATGACACGTTACCCCGCAAGTTGCAAGTGAAAGGTATATCGGCAGCGGACTTGCAGTGCAATGTACGACACTGAAGACGACGACACTCACTTGTGTCTTAAGTGCAGCGCAACAATCACCGGTTTGAAAAACTACATCGCTCATCGCAAGCAGCACTGTTACAAGATTGTGCGTAGTGACAGTGCTTTTACATCCGTCGCGTCGCCGACAACCGAACACCCGTATGAGCCGTCATCACTGCGGGCGGACGATTTTTTCTCTTCACTTGAGCTACAGAGCATCCAGGCTGTTATTCCATCTACTGCCACCGCCAAAGTGGACCATGCTGATGACGACTTGGAAGACGCCGATGACAGTGACGGTGATCTCTACCCACCAACGTCGCACACGGGTGGCAAATGGAAACCCGGCTGGGGGCCCATCGCTCGTTCCGACTGGAAGGCGGTGTGCCAACACGGGGTGAGTACTTAAACTCTACCCCCCCTCCCCCCCGTTTTTCAGAGTTTGCTTTGTGCCCACATTTTTAAACAGAATTCGATTGGGTAGGCGGCTTTCCCAGGCGGTTCATCCCTGAAATAAGCCGAGTGTCAGGCTGGGGGACACCTGTGCCCATTTTGAGGCGCAGTGCCGTGATGATGATGATGATGATTTTCTTATATTGCTGGCACTCGCCCACAAAGGGGGATCGGTAAAAGCGGCGTACTCCCTACCGGGCTACCGAAATTACGTGCCTTCTTCTTCTTCTAACCACAACCCACCATTTTGTGAAACCGATGGGTATCTGGTGGCACGTGGGTTCGAACCGACTTCCTGCAGCCGAAGCGAACGCTCAACCACGAGGCTACAGCTACACCGTAAATGTGTTGAGTGTAATGTCATTTGAAGCGAATGACATTCATAATGAACGTCATTGTGATATCCCTGTCACGCGGCAAATCAGTGCCACTTAAGACGAACAAAATTAAGTGGACCTAATGTCATTTTGTTGGTGTAATGTCACACGAAAGAAAAAAAAAATGTCATTTTGAAGTGATGACCATGACCTTAGCCCTCCTGAGCAGTGGATTTTGGAGAAAATAAAAATATTCTAAAAGTTGCATGTAACGTGTGTATCTACAAAAAGAATTTTTCGGGGGTAAAAAGGTGCTCCTATAATATATACCCGGCCGTTTTACACAACTTGCCACAGCAGCACGACACACTCGAAAACTAACATGGCCGATAGTATGACCTGGCATGCGTACAGTTAGTACAGTGAACTAAGGCAGGGAGCACGACCGACTTCCTGGCTGCAGAAATGAGACGGCGGCAGCTATTTCGTGTAGTTGCCGCCTTGATCACCACTACACGTGAGATCGAACGATCAACGTTTGCGACACAGGCAACAACAACAAAGCAAAAATGAAATATGGCTGGCGTCCAGCCGCTGTAGTTGCGATTACTTTTTTTGAAGCTTTCGCACATGCTATTATGTTATCTAAGCAATAATAAGTTGATTTAGCAAAGAATGAGATATTTAGAAATGATATAAGTTACATATATACATAAGTTAACAGTCATTTTCCTATAAGTTTCTTGTGTCGAGACTGCTCACTCGGTCCAAAATTGAATGTGGTTTGGGAACTTATTTGACAGAAAACGTCATTTTCATAAAATGCCATTAGTTTACCCCTATGACAGCATTCACTGTAAATGACATTATATTTGCCGTGTGACAGGCGTATGAGTTTGCATTCCGGGATGGAAACATGGAGGGAGGAAAGCCAGTTTATGCCTTCCTCCATGGATGGAAATGACATTCGCAAGTGTTGTCAATGTTCATCGGCAGGCTGGAAAAATACCGAAAAGTTTCAAATCGTGCATTTCATTTACATGACATTGTCCTGCTGGTTCAAAATATACTGGGACGCGACGAAACAGCATCAGTAGCACAAAAGGTTTTAAAAATGCTCGATCATACTTGCATTCAGAAATATTTTAAACCGTGACAGTATTGAGTTTCTCACGTGATAGCGTTCTTGAATTTGTGACCGCAATGAGTGATGATCAGTGCAAATGAATGGTAATTGCTCTCCAGCTGCTGCGAATAAAGCATTAGAACCGACAGAAGCGCTTGGTATTTCAAGAAAAAAGTTCACAGACGACGAGGGATATACAGCTGTGCCCACACACTAATTCATTTACGTTGGCTTGATGCTGGCTGCTCTTTGGCTCCGTGGTGCTTCCCAAAAAAAGGAAAGTTGGTTTGAAAACACTCTCTCTAAACTGGTGTCCCAACAAGTGCGTATATATTCTGCTACCGCTACTAAAACAGAGCGCATTTGTAAACATAGCTGACACGAAGCGCAATAGCGTAAAAGAGAGTGTAGCTGTGAAAACTGCTCCCTATCACGTTGTACGTGGAAAAGTTAGCAAAGGCATTCACTTTGTAATCTCTTGTCAAGTGCCTGTTGATAAGAATACACATGTCGCGCTTCCATGAGTTCAACGGTCGAATGTCATTCACTGTTCCCGTTTAGCAGCAACATAAATGACATTAACACCAATGTAATTCGCAGCAGCCGGCTAAGCCTACCGTTTAATGCAGTGTCTAGCGTTACGTCTAATTTACCGATTTCACCGTATTTCACCATATTTACCGATTTCAATAAAACTTTGAACATGTGTTCTCATTGATTGATTGATATGTGGGGTTTAACATCCCAAAACCACCATATGATTATGAGAGACTCTGTAGTGGATGGCTTTGGAAATTTTGACCAACTGGGGTTCTTTAACGTGCAGAACATGTGTTCTTGTCGGTGCTGTGGTGATATGTGCCAAATTGTACAACCGCAAGTCATTTGGTTTTTTAGAAAACAAATTTTAAAATTGGTAGCTGCTTCTAGAATCACACTTATAATCGCAGGCCACCCTGTGTATGTGACGTAAGGGCTTACTCTATCAAAAAAACCTGCCTTTCCTAGCAGACGGATGCAGTGCGCGCTTTCTTCTACGATGCGACGACAACGCGAGCACAGTTAACTTTTGTCATCAACATAGAGCGTGTTAGTCGTTGTTGACATCGGGTCTTACAATATTGAGCAACAAGAAAATCGATTCGAGGCATGTCAGATGTGTCACGCGCCGGCAGGTCGAAATCAAAAAGCGATGCTACTGTGCTCAGATAGTAGCTGCAATCATCGCTGAACTTGTCACTGGTAAGTTCAGATGAGCTGGCGCAACTTGATTCCGCGTCGCATGACATCACCAACTTGCTTTTCGCGTGTCAAAAGAGACATGTGAGCTATTTTTACACCCTGCCTGCTGTAGCGGATCTCATAAAGTCCTCAGTGACAAATTCTCGTGACGTCATCCGATACCCACCAAGGATGACAAAGCAGCTCCTTGTTTCGGTTTCTGTTTTGACCTGTTGTTTATTGTTTATTTCTTAATTGAAATTATTGATGAGGACTGTTGTTACTATTTGAAGACAGTATAATTGAAAATGCACTAGAGTTCTCCTTTAACCTAACGAGAGAAACCACTAAAGTTACGTCTAGACTTAAGAATAACGAATCTTAAATGTTATGTTCATCGTGACTGTACCAAACTAGCTTGTTAGGCTCGCTGAACCGATCTTCTCTGGTGGCGCCGTGGGCTAACGTGTTGTTCTCGGAAGAGGAGGGACGTTGGTTCGAATTTCATCGCAGTTTCCCCTTCTTCCCCCCCCCCCTTTTTTTGAAGTACGTACTCTTTAACATTATAGCGTTAAGCCTTTGATGCTCAGTGTCGCTCTGGAGCTGCGCAAAAAGTCTAAAACCGTCTAGAGGCTTCAACGTTAAACAAGGGCCAGTCAACAGGCTTGGACTTTTTTTAGATGTGAAGCAGCTCTTTGACTAGCTTGTGCAATGCTATTCCTTCATACACCCTCACTGCGCATGCTCGCATCTCGTGCTGGCCCAGGAAGACACCCACAAAACTGTCGCTCCCCTCCCCCTCTTTCGCCCCACAAGGCTGACGCATGCAGCATCTGGTAGTTAAAAAACGTACTTCTCGCGCTGAATAAGATCGCACATTTGGAATTCAGTCAGGGGCGTCTTTATTTGGCTTTCGCTTGATTAGCGCCAGCGTCAACACCAGTGTAAGCGTTAGTGCCCGCTGCTCTGCATCTAGGTTCCCTTTAGCGAGAGATGGTCCAATTTCTCGCACCCTCCTAAAAAGCCCGGCAATTCGTAGAGTAGACCGGGGCAATCCTGTTTTTCGAATATTACAGCGCTATCCCACGCAGAGCCTCCATTTCAAAAAAACTATTTCCCCGCTCCTTTCCTATGCCTGACGAATCTTCCTTTCAGGCACAGTCACGCAAAGTCGCCAATCGGCGACTTGATGTAGTACACAGCTCGTCAATTGGTTTAAACCAGTCACGACGACAGGTTACGCCTTCCCCTCCCTGTCAAGGAAGAGGTGGCGAGGCTGCACGAATATTTGAAACCAGCTAAAGCGATACTAGAACCACTATAACTTTCTTAATATAGCAAGTATTGGCAAAATTCTTGTGGCAGCATGTTCACATAGCAAAAGTGCACATATTTCACTTTATAACAATTTGTGGACTTCCGGGTTGTTTTTTACGGGCCCCTTAAACAATTACGTAGAGGTGGCAGCATCCCGTTTCTTCAGTGTTCGTGCGTCTGAGTGGCGGCAATGAAAGCTCCACACAAGCGACTAATTTTATTCCATCACAACGGAAGTTGACACGTTTGCAAAGCCTGTTCAATTGAAATGGCTCAGAAGGGGCTGTAGAACATTTATGAGCATGCTGAATGATGCTGCCGCATGTTACGGGGCAGAAATATTCCAGCTAAAAGTGTTGTTGCCCACAAGCAAAAGTTGCCATATGCGGTTGTGAAAGCAGATGTAAGAAGATATGCTTGTACTAATTTTCTGCCGGGCAGAATGAAAAACCCAGGAATTACATAATATTATTTCTTCTGTATATGATATGTGTTAGTTACAAGGCCAACAAGGCCATATTTTTCGTCATGGCAATGTCAAAAAAAAAAAAAAACACGCTAGGCCTGTGTGGAACAGTCAGCACAGCCACAGTGAAAAGTGGAAGAGGTGCCTTTATAGACAGAGTTGTTAATGCTCTTTGGGTGACTACCACAATCGCACTTGTGAGGCACACCCATTGTCATAAAGCATCAAAATTTTTGCAATGTAGTGAGTCACCCTCTACGCCATTTTCTTCATTCAGCGGAGAAGTGAGGTACCCATGACACACCTGTGAGTCATTATGTTAATTTTATTGATGCTGTGGCCCAGGACAATAAAGAGTTATAGTTGAGCTATTTGTGATTGGTTCGAAGTTGAAAGCAACCCACTCGTTGGGCAATTAGAATTATGGGACACCTTATCATTTTACTTTCTTACCACCATGTGATGGCTGTGGCATCGAAGACTACTACCATCATCAC